CTTAGCAATAGAGGTGCTGACATGGTTGGCTGGAATGACAGCCACCGCAGATTGTTCATGGTGTCTCATGCGTATCAAACACGATGGAATTCGGATGATCCTAGTGTGGATCGTCCATGGGCTGTGTTAGAGGAATTCCGAGGGCTGCCAAGGGTTAAGATGCTTCTATGGAAGATATGTCAAGGGAGGTTGTTAACAAATGAAGAGCGGGTAAGACGTCATTTTGAGTCGGATTCCTATTGTGAGATCTGTGGTAGTGCTATTGAAAGTAGCTCTCATATTTTCAGAGACTGTCCGATGGCTTGAACAACGTGGGTTGCGTTAATAAAACCCCATCTCCAGCACGAGTTCTTAAATGTTGACATGGAGACTTGGATTGTCACGAATTTGTGATAACTAAAGCTCTTCCCGATAGTGGATGAGGATTGGGATATCCTATTTAGGTCGGTGATTTGGTGCCTCTGGGAGTGTAGGAACAGACTGATTTTCGATGAGGGGTTCACAATCGGCGTAGTGACATTCAACAGAGTCGGCGACTCAAAGATGACGCAATAAATGCTTATTTGTAGAGGCGAGCTCGGAGGAGTAGTAATACACAAGGAGCAAACGGGGAGGCTACTTAGTCACCCCCTCTGAATGGATGGATAAAGATTAATACTGATGGCGCTGGACGATTGATTACCGGCTTGGTCACATGTGGGGGAGCCATTCGAAATCAACAAGCGGAGTGGATAGCGGGTTTTTCACAGAACATTAGGTATTGCTCAGTTCTTGTCGCGGAACTGTGAGGAATTTATACGGGTCTGACTATGGCTTGGAATATGAACTTTCGTCAGATTATTGTGGAATCTGATAACAGGGACGCAATCGTCGTTCTCCAAAGACAACATAAGGTTAACGGAGGTTCCCCAATGGTTCCTCATGTGCATGAATTGGCTCAGCGGGATTGGTGTATCCGATGTCGATACGTGCCAAGGGAGAGTAACCGTGTAGGGCATGGTTTAGCCGGGGTTGGTTGGAATCTCTCGACCGGATGCCAGGCGTATCTATCGCCACTGGAAGAAGTAATGGAACAAATGCATCTGGATTCTCAGGATTATTTAGTTGGTTAAATGGTTAGACCATATCTTTCGTAATAATAATAAAAAAAATACCATTTCGAATATTTTAACATACTTTCAAGTCTACTTTTTCATGTACCTTGCTTCCTAGGATTATCCTAACAAAAGCATGCCTCAAAGACGAAAGATTGCAAAGAGACAATTAAATAAATTTAATAGCTATTTTACAATTTTTAAAAGTTTAATGATTATAAATTTTATTTGAGTATAATTTAAGTACATCTGATATATTTTACTTAAAAAATTCTGACGATAGAATTAATATTTCTTTTCTATTTTTTTCTAATTTTAAGATTTATAATATGATTGACTTGTATTTAAATTAAAATGAAATATTCGTATTGAATTTTAAAATTTAATAATATTTTATATGACTAATATTTTAATAACTGGATTATGTTCATATTTAATATTCTATTTGAGTATTTCTAAAAATTATATATATTTTATATTAATATAATAAAAAATATACAAAATCTTTAGATTTACAGGGATATTTTCTCATATGTTTAAGTATTTAATATATTGTTTATTTTGTTCTTTCATTGTTTCTCAAGAAATTATGTACTTGCTCGAAATACCAAATTTATTTCTTTAATCCCGCAACAGACATGAATACTATTCCCTTTAATTGCTATTTATAAGAGATTGATGTTCATTGTTTGAACATCTACTTGTCATTAACTGCTATCTCATAGTATTCATTACTCACAAAAACAAAAATGGAGATGAAAATTGAGAGGGAGATGAAGCATGAGTTCCATGAGCATCCCTTGGTGTTTGTGGAAGAGCAAAGAAATGAAGCTTATATGGTTTTTTCCTTCGAGAAAGGTCATATCCTGATTCCGAGTATGTATATGGTTGTGCATTATGCAAGGAAAAACGTAACATGTTCTTTTATGAATGTAATATTTGTTCCTTTTCCCTTGACATCAAATGCGCTCTTTTATCTTCTTCGTATAGCAAGGTCAACCAAGAGTCCAAACATGATTTCCACCAACATCCATTGACCTTCATACAAAGTCCCATGGATGAACTCAAAAGATTCAACTGCACCTGGTGTCATCAACCATTGCTTCATGCTATCTACTTTTGTTTTCACTGCCCATCCTTTGTTTTCCATAAGAAATGCCTTGATGAGTTACCCCTTATACTTCATCACCCTTCCCATCACCTACACCCTCTCTCTCTCGAGTCTAATCAGAATTCTCTCCTTTGCAAGATATGTCAAACCCAACATGGTGGATATTTTTATTCTTGTTCTCTTTGCAATTTTAACATCAGTATTCAATGTGCTTGGCCGAGGCCCGTTGTTGAAGATAAAAGGCACCATCAGCACGCATTCACCCTATTTTGGAGACCAGCTGGATCATTCATTTGAGATGCGTGTGGCACTGAGGGCAAATATATTTCTTATATATGCTCTACTTGTTGTGTTATTGTCCATAAAGACTGAACAAAACTCCCTCGCATTCTCAAATTCTCACGACATCATCACTACCGTTTTTGCAAATATTTTCTTGAAAAAAAAGAGCTTACAAGGCAGGATTGCAAGATTTGCTTTGAAGAAGTGAAAGTAGTGCGTGGGAGTTACTCTTGTGTGAAGTCAGGTCGCAATTACGAGGTCCATGTGAATTGTGCCTTAGAGGATGAAAAACGTTACGACGTAATTGAGCAAGAAAGTCAATGTGTGAGGAGCTAAATGCAGCTACGCTGTCTTCCATCACTCGTGTTATTGAGGTGAATGAAGATGGGGAAGCCACCAAGATTGAACATTTCAGCCATGGAGATCATTGCTTGGTGTTAGCAGACAAGATGGAGGAGGAGGAGCAGTGTTTCCTTATGCTGAATATAAACATAAGGAAACCTAGTGTTTCCACACAAGATTAGATAATATAAACATCCTTAATCATTAATGAATCTGAACAAATTCAATCATATTCATAAAAACCCAATGTTTCCTTATGCTGTGGAAACCAAAAAAACTATGATTTTTTCTTAACCTCTACACTAGTTGATAGAAATCAAACTAAACAGCTGAATCTGCATCAAATAAATTTTCACCTTTCCAGCATTTATTCTCAGCAACCAATTTATCAAGTAAAAATGTGATTTTCAGAAAGCATAATGATAAAATTACACCCTAGCGTTTGACAAAATAATTATATCAATTTCTATTTTATATTTAAATACTTTTAACATTTTATTTTAGAGCAAAATACTCATGCTTGAATGAAAATCATCCTTGTAACACAAGAGCTTGCAAGGCAGGATTGCAAGATCTGTTTCGAAGAAATGAAACTAGAGCGTGGGAGTTGCTCTTGCGTCAAGGCAGGTTGCAATTACGTTGTCCATATGAATTGTGCCTTAGAGCATTCAAATCTATACGACGTAATTGAGGAAGAATGGTAATGTGAGGAGCTTGATGCAGCTACGCAGTCTTACATCACTCATGTTATTGAGGAGAATGAAGATGGGGAAGCCACGAAGATTGAACATTTCCTCCATGAAGGTCATTGCTTGGTGTTAGCAGACAAGATGGAGGAGGAAACTGGCATAAAATGTGATGGGTGCATGCCACCTGTCTCAACTCTGCAGGTCTATTCTTGTTCGGAATCAGATTGTCATTTTTGTCTTCACAAAAATTGTGCTGAGTTGCCAAAAATCAACCAACTTTGGTTTCGTCAATCTAATGCTACTCTTCAATCCAAAAGCCTCAAGCGATGTGACCTGTGCAGACGAAATTGTAGTGGTTTATTCTACAGAATTGGAGGATACTTCCATGTTTGCATAAGGTGTGCTAAAGTTGGTGATATCATTGAAGGTCAAGCACACCAACACTTTCTCTTTTTTGATTTCAAATGCAAGGATCAGCAGTGTCATGGTTGTGGAAACGACTGGCATTGGTATGGTGCATTCAGGTGTGGAAAATGCAAAGTTGATTTGGATTTTGCATGCTTGACGTTAACGCATTCAACTCTTCATAAACCGGATGAACACAAGCTATACCTTACTTATCATGATGATAATGATTATTCAAATCATTATTATTGTGATATTTCTGAAGGAGAAAGAGATCAAAGCCTTTGATATTATCATTGTTCGATCTGTGATACATCTGCTCATCCTAATTGTGTTCTTGGATAATTTTCATCTGTCAAGGATGAGATCAGATTGTCTGATTACTACTATAACCCACATCGTCATGATCTTTTTTTCTTAAGAAGATCGAGGGCTACCTGAATACTCTCATAATGGTAAGCTTTGCCTCAAAGAAATTACAAGTGTGAATAGTCTACATGCAACTTTATTGTCCACTTCAAATGTTGATAGTCATTCAAGTAAGTTTTCTAAACAATTAAAGAGTCTATTCTCTTTAATCATTATTTTTTCTAAAAAAAATAATATTCTCCATGGTTTAGATACGCAGGTCCAGAGATTTTACCCTACTAAAGGAATTCAAAGAGGACTTGATATTTCATTCCGACTTTTGCAAGAGAAAATAGTTCTAGAAAAACTCAATGAGTTTAGTCTATGATTCTAAGTGTTATAATTGTGTTACTTAATTTATGGCTTTGTGTGATTTGATTCCAATGTTAGTTTGGGGTTTGTTTAAGACTTATCTGGGTTTGTATTATTTGATTTCAGTGTTACTTTAAGGTTTGTTTGCGATTTATTTGAGTTTATATGATTTTAGTTCAATGTTGCTTTATGATGTTTGAAAAGTAGCAATTAGTTATTATTGAAAATATTTCTTACTTAAAAAAGATGAGTTGTACAATTTTTCTAAATTATATTTGCAATGTTAATTAATTAAGTTATTCTTTTATACTGTACCTATTTACAAGCCACCTACCTCAAATAGAACTGAAATGTCAAAACAGTACGTAATTTAAATGAATAACCGGCAGTAGTTTCCAGGCCATCACCTACTTTAATGAAAACGGGCACCCAAAACTTCATGTTATACGATAAACACACTTAAATATTTGGAGATAATGACAAATATGGGTGCCAACTTACCAATATTTTTTAGGAACAAAATTGCACTTATATGCTGCTGCTGCGGATAAATATAGACAAATCATTCAGGTGTCTCTAAAGCACTGACCATTGACACGCCATAAAGTGATGGATCATCAAAGTTCAGGCGAAAGCGCCATTTGAAATGAGTGGAGGAACAAAATTGTAACCTTGAAGAGTCTGCTCAAAGATGTGACCTACTCTCACCAACTTTTCCTGCAAAACATAATATCAAACAAATACATGCCAAGTTGTAATGCTTGTCTCTGTATATTTTGTGCTCCTTTTAACACAATCATACAAGCTTTTTTATGGTTCAAGTCCCACCCTGTCTGAAACTCTCAAGATTTATTATGGTTATCAGTATGATAGCTCATTATAATGATTGATTCTGATTCTAGCTATTCAGATCATGTCGATTGTAATCGTAACTGTAACAGTAACTTCCTCAAAGAAAAAAAACGTCCATTAACTGTGACCAAGTGTTCGAGGTCTACAAATGATAGTCTACGCTAAAAGGAGTAATCCCAAAAGCATGGGTGCTTAACAAACTCATACGCTGGCATTTTGACAGATAGCATCAACTAAATCAAGAGGTTAGTTTTCTCGGTTCCTATTTGTTCCTTCATGCATATAATGTGTTTGCCGAATGATGAATGAATAACAAGTTAGTAAAAAAAAGGTAAGCATACCTCATCAAATGCCGCACCAATCATTTGAAGGCCAACGGGAAGGCCAGCAGCTCCCCCTTCAACAAATCCACATGGCAAAACCAATGCAGGTAAGCCTGCCAAGTTAACATTGACCTGTATATGGGAATTAAATCTCCAAATGAGAGGAATTAAATCTCCAAATGAGAAGTGGGCAAAAGGAAAATAAGATACATATAAAATGCAGCAAACAGTTGAAAATTTCAATTCATAAAACATGAATTTCATCATTAAACACAGGAATTATCGTGAGGAAAACCAAAGCAATGTCTAAAAAGCCACAACTTATATATTCTTAAATAGCCAAACATTCATGGTAGTATTCAAAGCCTTATACTGCAGAATAATGACTAGATAAGATATAATCGTAGCGCCTAAACGAGCTTACCGTCATAATGTCTCCGGCATACATAGCCAAAGGGTCATTCTTCTTCTCACCTGCAAACATCAAAAACAACTTGGTAATTCAATTTTAACAGCTAATTACCATCCATACCCGAGTCATAGCAACCAGCACATCAACATGCAAATAAGGAACAGGGAATGGATTAGATAAACAAGTAAAATAAGAAAACGGGTAATACAAATAGCATACCAATCTTATATGCAGCGGATGGAGCTGCAGGTGAAATCAGGATGTCATTTTCATCCAATGCAGCCTTGAAGCTTTTCCGAATTATGGTCCTTACCTAAAACACTTTTAATCATCATGTCTTCTTAAATACCAAATGCTCCTAAAAGAACCATGGGCTTCAGTATATGACAAGTAAAATGATCGAATTGACATACATTCAAAATTATAAATGGGGTTAATCAAATACTTGGTACCCTTAGTACAGTCATATGCTCAAATGGGCACCTTAATTTCAAAATATCCAACAAAGTATTCAAATTTTGCTTCTGTTTACCGATACAAAAATACAACTGCCTACATTAGCTGAAAAATGTGTAGCATATGTCATTATGTTGGGGACACATATCATTTTCTAAAACTCAATCAGTAGAAAATCTAGTGAACTGTGAACAGAACAGTAACATACTGCATTTGGCTTTAAGGTGACGCATTAGATTTTATGAGCATATAATTACTTAATGAGGACTCATAAGATACTCATTGTAAGGATGTAATAAATTTACAGGAATGGGAATGATACCTGTTGAGCTCGCTTGTAATATGCATCATAATATCCAGCAGAAAGAGCATATGTTCCCATTAATATTCTCATTTTGACCTGCAAAATTTAAATGTATTTCTTGTCAAGATTTCAGATTGTTTACAACTAACATTATATCAAGTTTAGATGCTGACCTCTGACCCAAATCCTTTAGCCCTTGACTCTTTATAAAGTGCATTTAACTCCTCTGAAGAAGTTTGATTCCCATATCTGGATTTGTTGAAAATCACAGTAAAAATGAGCAATAGAATCAGAAACTTTATTATTTATCTTCACTCCTCACTCTACCCTCTCCAACCTCACTCTTTCAATATGTATAAAGAAAGTAAAAACAATAATTTTAAGTTCCAATCTAGCTTTTATTCATCAGCATGACATATGCTTGAAAATAGAAAAACACTTCATAGCATGTCACCTGACACCATCATATCTCGACAAGTTGGAAGATGATTCTGATGATGCAAGAATATAATAAGCCGGTAAACCAAGAGAGAAAGATGGCAAAGAAACCTGCAATAATTTCAAAAGAATAATGAACAAATAAAACCAATATGCATTGGATTCCACACAAAAAGAACATGGAAGTTATAAATTACACCTCTTTCAAAATGCATCCTAATTGTTCCAGATGAGCTGCAGCACCCTGTATTGCGGATTTAACTCCAAAATCAACACCAGCATCAACCGTTTCACGGATAATACCAACCCTTAACCCCTCCAATGGCCTGGAATCCAAAGAGCTTGCAGAAGTGAATTGAGAAGTGAAATCAGGAACCTCCTGAAATGCAAGAACATATATTATTGCAATAAAGCTAGAAAAATAATAATGCTAATATGCGTTCAACTCAAAATAGACAGATAGCACCAAGGCAGAAATAGTATTCAAAGTCTTGAGATTCTATTGCAGGCAGCATCATTGATGTGACTAAAAGCTGAGGGGCAGAGAAAATTTAGGATGTCGATGCAGAATTGGGAAGAAAAGTAAGCAAGAAGGCAAGAGAAAATTGGAGCCCTTAAACCAGGGTAGCAAAAAAGAAAACAGGAAAATCACACAAATAAAGAACCCTTCTCATCCAAAATTATTGCATCATGGGGACTTTCGCTTCAGTAAGCTGAGTCAGAGATACATTTGCTTAAACCATAGATGGTACTGCTCAGAACTAGACTAATTTCTAAGCAGCTCAACAAATAAAGAACATAAGCATGGAAATTTAGTTCCTGAATATGTATATAACTGCAGAATCTTCAAAAGAAAGGCAGATGTTTAAACTAAAGAATATATTCTCTGTATTATTGACACCAATTCGAAGAAAAATATCTCTGCCAGTTTTAAAATTGAAACAGCACTTAACTCGTTTACTGCTAGTCGCATCAAGTGAATCATGGCCAGAAATAGCATGAAGAAGAATCCCGGTGTCAGCAACAGACGAACCAAAACATCCGATAACATCAAGGGATGATGCATATGCCATAAGCCCAAATCTCGAAACACGTCCATAAGTTGGCTTCAAACCAACTACGCCGCAAAATGATGCTGGCTGCCTCACACTTCCACCAGTGTCACTCCCAAGTGATACAACACATTGCCTAGCTGATACAGATGCAGCCGAGCCACCTGAAGATCCCCCTGGCACCCGGGAAAGGTCCCATGGATTTGCTGTCACCTATCCAAACTAATAAATGCATTGCTAACTATAAACTGAAGTAAAAGCAATCATCAAATGGAGCTCCATTTAGCATTGTTGTTAGCACAAGTTAAGAGGTCTAAAGCTATTTTTCACACACCAAAAGCGAGTAAAACATTTCAGCTTCTGCTGTCAAAATCATGGTTTGACAAACAAAACTAGGAAGTTGCTTTTTGGATAAAATGATTTTATTATCCTCACATCTCTAAACTTTTATAATTCTAAATACAGATTTTTTGACATTTCAAATCCCTTGAGCACTTTATCTTGTAAATTTCCAAAACCACATTTTTTCACCATATTTATTTAAACACATTTTTCACTAACAAAAACAATGCTAAACAAGCAAATTGAATGGGAATTTAATCAAACCTTAAAAGCAGAAGCTTCAGTCGTACTCCCCATACCGAACTCGTCTAAGTTGGTCTTTCCAACAACAATGGCACCCAAGTTCTTCAACCTCTTCACGGCCGTGGCATCGAACGGAGGACGGTACCCTTCCAGGATGTGGGAGCCACCGGTGGAAGGCATATCAGCCGTACAAATGTTGTCTTTTATAGCCACGAGGACACCTGCAAGGGGACCCACTTCTTCATTCCTCTTTATCTTGTCGTCAGTTTCCTGAGCTTGTTTCAGGACCTTGTCCGGGTCGGATACGTGAAGGAAACAGTTAATATGGGGCTCCGTTTGCTTGAGACGGTCCAGGTAAGAATGGGTCAGTTCGACGGAGCTGAGTTGGCGGGAGAGAAGCAAATCGCGATTGGAGAGGATCTGTGATTGGTCTGTGAGGGAGGTCTTGATGACGGGCTCGGCGGAGGAGAGGATGTGGAGGGAGCGGCACCTGGCGCGACGGTGGAGTGGGAAGCGAGATAGATAACGCGGGGGTTGAATTGTTGATAGCATTTTTCCAAACGAAAGGACCCAAAATGGATTTTTCATTTTTTATTATGGTGACCCTACATCACAAAACAAAATAGCTGACCGCATCGAGAGAAAACGTAGATAGTTTCGAAGAAAATCATCTCATAAGCATTTCATCAAGCAGTTTCTAGGCACGATCAAACATCTCTTTATCAACTTTAAAATTGTTTTATTAAGCGTATGTATTCATAAATAATAATTTATCATTTAAAACAAATCCGATTTTACACAGCAATTAGGCAGTTCAGTGTTGTTTCATAACTATATAAAACTACCGAAATATTAATTGATTTAAAAACCATTTAAAACCTAACATTTATACTATTCATTCATAAACTAAAATAGTCAAAATTAAAATAGTCCTAAATTACTATTACAGACCCTTTTAAATTAAATTTGATAAAGCAACCCAATAGATATAATGTACATGCCTTTAATAAGTCAAAGATATGATGTCTTCATGATACTATCAATAGGTTTGATTTTCAAAAGATGCTCAAAAAGCTCCTCACTTCACGTCATTTTCTTTATTCGAACCTACGCATGAAAATCATCACGTACTAATTAAAACTTAGTGAGACAGTTATACAGCTAAAGTGAGTTAAAACATAAAATGCAATAAAATATTTTAAGACATAAAAAGAAATGTAATTTAATGAAAAAACATTGAAACTTTCAAACGGAACTATTTAAGCTGATTTAATCTTCAGAAAACTTGAAAATCACCATCTCATGATTTTATCAAAATCGTGTAAATCAACATCATATATAACAACTATTTCATATTTCTTTTTCATTTGTATATAATTCAAAACTTTCATTTTCACTTTCATATTCTTTCCTTTTAGATATTTTTCTTAACTTTCATATTCATTTTTCTTATTTACTTTCATAGCCCAATGCATATTTATGAGAACACAAGGTACATGAGTAAAATATAAGGTGCACGCAGGGCACATCACGGTGCCATTATTAACTGAAACATATAATGTACTCCAAGTGTAATCATAACATGAGCACCAACAGTGCATATCATAATATACACGAATGTACTATAACTTAACTGGAAAGTACTCAACTTAATGACATGTTAAATGTACCTACGACTTTCAATGCAACATATAATGGGCTTATATATCATAATAGAATCATTAATTAATCGACGTTTGAAAATTATAAACCTTAAAAATTCATCATCATAAAAATAGTACTTGGATAGTTCATACCCTAAAACACTCATAAAATTTGTTGAAAATATTATAGAAATCATCCATAATTAAAAGTTATAAATCATACTTGAAAATAAAATGAGGTTGATTTATTGCAAGTCGTCCTCAATCATAATAATTGAATAAATAAACTGAACTAACATTAATACTTTATATACAAGTCAAAATATAAGCCTCACTAAGCTTTAAGCTTGATTTTTTGTTTTCGATTCACTTCTATCACAAAATTTATCATAATTTCATATTCTGGCAGTTTGCACTACCTTCAAAGAAATATTATCTTTTTATCAATATACACACTTAAAAATTATTCTTCTTATTCCACTAGAAACTAGACTCGAATATGAATCTAACCATATAAGGAACTTATTTTAGTTCAACTTGTACTATTTATAGTGAATTTTCAAAGTTAACTTATAGAAGTTGTTTTGAGCATAATCTATTGCCGTGTTTTCTTACCTATCCTCAATTAAAAATTCATAAATTTTTGTATACTCATTGAAATCAGTAGTCGTTTGTTTTAGACAAAACTAGTCTCATATTAAAATCCAACGGTAATAAAATCATCCTCTAATCATTTATGTGGAATTTATGGTAATTTTCTAAACTTACTGTTCCGATCACAAATCTAGGTAGATTTCACCAATTTGCATTTTCAGCTTGTTCAGTAATTCTATTAGCTTACAAAATGCACATATATACATAAATCATAAAGTCACATAACATTTGAAGTCACATAACATTTGAAGTCACTTCTTACCATAGCAATTCCGTCACTGGCTCATCGCAAGCCAATGTTTGCTCGATAACATAAATACAAATTAAAATTGCACTCACCTGGTGTCCATAGCTTGTAAATCTTACTAGCACTTCATATTACGTCCTTAAGCTTCTCCTTAACTTTAACATTGCTTGATCTTGATTTCAATCATAATCTAAATGAACACCATTTACAAGACATACATTTCAAACCATATGTTATAATCTTACTAACATAGGCACACAATAGAAAATAAATTCCTAAAAACCTTTCAATGCTCATTCTATACAAATTTCATATCACATCATCAATGTTAACCTTAATACTTCAAATTGACCAATAAATTCATTTTTATCCAATTTCACCCAAACTTCACATAACATTCTTCAACTTTCTATTTTAACTACCGTTTACGAATTCTTTTAGAATTCATATCAACTTTTCATTGTATTCCAAATAGTCATTTGCCTTTTAGCTTCAATTTAAGTTTCAAACAACTTAATTTAATTTCCAGGATATATTTTTTTGACCAATCTCAAAAACTCCACTATTACCACTTAAGTCACTAACTTTCTCAATATTTGACATTTAATACTCAAACTTTGCCAACTTTCTAATATAGTCAAATTTCACATTCTAACATCAAATTCAATATTCTAACCTTCAATTCCAGCATAGTATATCATATTTATAACATTTTCACATAAACTCCATAATTTTTCATAATTGCCAAATAGGTCCCCAACTTTCATAAAATTACAAAATGGCTCAATCAACTTTCTAAAGCTTGTAGAACCTTTCAAACATCATTTCTAAGCCTAGAAAAATTTTCACAATTTTCCCCCAATTAATTCCTTAGGGTTGAATATCATAATGTTTAGGGTTCTTAATTTTTACTTGATTCAAGCTTGGATTCCACCTCTAAACAACATTTCAAGGCTTCTACAATCAAAGCCCTAACATAATTTAACCAAATCACAATTTTCTAAAACCCTAGGTCATGGTCAAATGGAATTTCACCCAATTTCAAGTTGTTTTAATCATCATACAAACTTTAGAATTAATCTCCAACATAAAAACATAAAAATCTTTCATCAAATCCTCAAAATCAAAAAATCCTACATAAACCCTAATTTCCAATTTTATCATATAAGCATGATCTTCATGTAAATGATAGAGAATTTCAAGGGGAATAATTCTCTATCTAATAGCTTAATCCAAAAATCAATCAAATAAGCTTAAAAATGAACTTGAAAAATTCTTATCTTAATAGACATGGTGGTTTACGTGTGGGGATGAAAGAAGCTGAAATTTCCTGATTTTTTCTTTAATTAAAACATAATAAACTTGGCTTAATCTAATATAAATAAATTTAAAATTCTATTAATGTAAAATTATCATTTTACCCTTAATAAAATATGATAATTTCAACTTACCATTGGAATATCTTTCATTTTAATACTCCAAAGTCAAATATGAACCACTAAAAATCCAATTTCCATCTTTGCCCTTTCAAATTTTCAAAAACTACAATTTAGTCACTAAATTTTCCAATTTCAGCTAAATATGTAAAATCGACTTCAATTCCATTGATCCACATTAAATTTCACTGTTATAAAATTTGAAAATGATATTTACAACATTTATCTATCATCCTTCAAAATTTTGTAAAATTCTGGTTCGATCCGATTATCCGATTTTCTTTTGGACTTTACTGCTTTATAGCTTTTAACACAAATTCTGGATCAAAATTATGATTCCCACGAAAACATAATTCTTGAGGTTGAACTATTCATTTAAGGGTCAAAATAGCTAACTTTTAAAAATTACCCTTTTGGTCCCTATTCTTTTCCACCTTTCTACTTTGGCCACTAAACTTTCAAAATTTATGTTTTGGTCACTAACCAAAATTTGGGGTATTACAGTACATCCAAACTAGATCCAAACCAAATCCAATCCAACCCGAATAAAATTAAATCAAATATAATCTAGACCCGAAATACTCGACCCAAACCCGATCTTAATGACTCGTTTGCCACTTCTATTACGAAGTAGTATTTATTCTAAATACTCTCAATCATTGGTCTAAATATTCATTTAACCACTAAGGTAAGTTGATTTATGCATGCTCTATGTTTATAGAGTCAAATATCAGATCACGAAAAAAATTATATATTAATTCTCACAAAAATAAACTTAATTACTAAATGATCTTTAGCCGCTATAATTGTACCAAAATCCAACTTAATTATAAATTAAAATTTGAATCAATACATCACAGTCTCCGTTTCACACAAATTATATTAGAGAATTGGCATTCAAGTGTTTAACAACTTAATTCTTACATAAATTGAATACTTACAGAAACATCGTTAGGGTGATTGAGAATTTCAGCATCGTTAGATCAATTAAGAATTTAGTCCCCGTAACTAAAAGCTTAATGTACCCAATTTTTCTTTACTAACACGATTATCACGATCACATTTTTACGATTCTTGAATCATAACATTGATATCACTTTTTAGAAATTTGGTCACCAGTAAATTTTATGAAATAACTTTTTATCTAAATAAATTTAATTATCAATTAATTTTCAACCATTAAAATTATATCAAAATCTAATTTATTTATTAATTTAAATTTAAATTAATACCAAACATAATTTAATTAAATTAAGTGTAAATTACACCACATACCACTGAATTTATTTTATTAACTTATTTATCCTACTGAATTTTTAATTTTACCAATTATAGAACTAAACTTTAATTTTACGTTTAATTATGTCATTTTATTGTTAAGTTAGAAATGAGATGGTGATATGAGTAATTGTTGTTGACGTAACCTATCACACCAAAACGACATCGTTTTAGACACTAGACTTCAGGTGTATCGATTTTTTCATTGAACTATTAAATATTTTTCTTTTTTGACACTATACTTTCTTACTATTGCAGACCATCAATAATCACCCATCATCTGTCATCTTTCATGGCAAGATTAGTACCATAAGGTTTCGTATTCTAATCTTTTTTTCTTCTACTATGATCGATTTTCCACGAAATCCACTAAAAAAACAACGAAAATTTATTTTAAAAATTGACGTATTAATATTTTGATCTTTTTCAATGATTGTTTGTTGAGACTAGCTTTGAGG